ATTCTTGCAAATCTTTTTCAATTCTATCACAAAAACTATGAATTCTCCTCATTTGAAGATAATAATTGATGAATAATAGAGTATAATATGTACATAAGTGTTCTCCAAAATGTATTCTGCTGTTATATATTTTTAGTAATGGAAAATTGGTTGAAAATCACGTCCAAATTGACTTCCAAAAGAGTTCCAATCGAATAAAGAAAGTTATCTTCGCTCGCGAATTTTTTGTCTCTGCACAGCATTCAGTATTTTGATCATAACTTTCTCTCTCGATATCCGATTAATACAATTCAAAGTAAGTTAGAAAGATAACTCAATGGGCTACAAGTTTGATAGAATAGATTTTTTTCAATTCGGACATTTACTATGCCAAAAATGGGTATCAATCATCGACTAAAATTCTGAAATATAACTTGTGCGATTGGAAATTGATTTTGATCATATTTCATTCCTTTTTTAGTTCTAATTCGATCCAATTGTCTCTTAACAATCTTCGAAGTATCATCTTGTGGTCCAAATCAACTATTGAATTTGCAATTTGATCCTCAAACTTTGAATTTTGTCATTTTTCACCATTTTTCGCTTATTTCTTTCAATTCCTCGTTTAACCATTGAGTTTTACCTATATAACATAAAATATAACAATTTATGATATATTTTATCAAAAGAACTATCAGATGTCAATATTTTAGGACCCTAAATAAGTGCATAAAATACACTTATCACACAAAAGGGAAGTAATAAAAAATATCTAGCGACAGGGATATTTTATTTATTTAACTTGAGTAGAAAAACAGAATTCCTATCCAGAAACCCTAGGGGGCTCTGGAATTACTCATAATGCAAAATCATGCAGCAGATAAAAATTAAAAGAATTGCAGAGTTCGTGGGACCGCACGTGGTTCTGAACTCAAAACCGCGGCATAGACCAATATAGAGAATAAGAAAATCTCAAACAAGTTGGAAACGGAATGGCCTATTGGCCTCAATAATTCAAGGCAGCAGCATTTTGTTTGCAGGACTCGGCAGTTTGAATGTAATAATGTGGCCCCTATAATAATAAATGAACGCGTAGCACCCACAAACCATTCTAGCTATAAATAATATTTATCACTTGGATTAAATACTGCAAGAATACTCCATTGATAAATTCTGGAATATACATATTTTCTCCAACTGCAATAGCAGAAGTTAAGGTTTTTATTGGTTTAGAGCTAATGGGAATTCGATTTTTGACAATAATTTCTCAACTTAGGAAAGTTTTGAGTCCAAGGTCTATGCAAAACCGGGCATCTCCATTTCCGGGAGGTACGAGGATAGAAGATGTTCCAAAGGGACATTTTGCTGTTTATGTTGGAGAGCTCAATCAGCACCGGTTTGTGGTTCCTATTTCGTACTTGAAGCATCCTTTGTTCCAAGACTTATTGGGGCGTTCCGAGGAAGAGTATGGCTATGATTATCCCGCAAGTTGTCTTTCTATCCCATGCAGTCAAAATGCATTTCTGGATGTTACTTGTCGAATGAAGGATTACAATTGAAATGAAACTGTACAATGATCTATTGTTAGGTATATATGTCGTGTAACCTACTATTAAGAAATAGATACATTTGAAATGTTTTTCTAGACTTCTCGAACACATGGGTTGGTGTACAATTAACGACATCGACCAACAATGTGCAGGGCCCCTTCAACCCATTTTGACGTGATCTTGTAAAATTTCGAAATTATGAGCAAATTATAAATAGTTTATATTACTTATTTTGATCTTCTAATAAGTTGTAATTCAATTTCAATAGCGCACTGGAAAAAAATTTCTAATTTGCTCCCACTTCCAAAAAAGAGTGGCAACCTAGCTAGCTAATTATCTCATCTTATCATGAATGTTGAAAATGACACAATAATTGATGGCGTGTTTGATAAAGTGAATTAGTTAAGATCTTATCTATTGGGTGAGAAATATGCACGAGAATTAATGGGCTCACTTGTTTCCGAATCTTGAACATCATATTTGTTAGAGGTAGTGATGCTTTTAGTTGCTTGATATTGCAAAATTTAGCAACTGGGCAGCCAAAATGGTCTCTCAATTTCGTAATGCAGACTAGCTACCTGCAAATTCTTTTCAATATGGGCATGTAGCTAGGTTAGTTTCTTCTCATTGTAGTTGTAAATGCATGATAAATAAAATCAAAATTGAACCAACCAATGAACCAAACCCTTTTCAAACAATGATTAAAGAGAGGGAACAATGAGGAAACTGCAGTGATCATCAAGGCGACTTATAAAAATTGTGCAAGTGTCAGGTGTGAGATAAAAAAAAAGGAACATACATTTGGACTGTACATTTTGACATATATTGAAGACGAGATTTAAATAAACAAATTTATCTCATTAGTAAGATAAACTCTTTATCTTTTCAGGGAACTGATATTGCAGTTTATCCAAACTAGGAGATGATGACAATTAAAAGTAACTCCACTTGTGAATTTCAGCAACTTGATTCAACATTTACATGTGCACGAAAAAAAAATCTCATAGTGAAGTATAATAAATATAGCAAACAACAAAGATATTATAAAGAAACAGAATTCAAGGGCCCTGAGTGCAAAATATAAATTAATAAATACACTTTCACTTTGGGCAAAATCATGCAGCAGCAAATTATTAAAAAAACTTGCAGACTTCACTTAACCGCACACGGTTCTGAACTCAAAACCGCGGGCATAGACAACTGATACATAAATAAACCAGAAATTCTCAAATACGCTGTGAAAGGATATAGCCTATTAGCCTCAATAATGCAAGTTTTGACTGTCATAACTAAGAACGTAATAAAATGGCCCTACAACATTAATATATGCACCACTCATAATATGCATTCACTAGGACTGTGTACTGCAAGAATTCTCCATCGGTTAATTCTCTCAAATATACACAAATCTCCCACTGGAATTACGGAAAAAAAAAAAGACTTAGGATATAAGAAGCATTTATAGTTTTTCTCATTTGGGGCTAAAATGGGAATCCATTTTTTGGCAATAATTCTCGAGGCAGGAAAGTTTTGAGTCCCAGGTCTATGCAGAACAGAACATTTCCTTTTCCAGGAAGTACACTGATAGATGATGTCCCAAAGGGACATTTTGCAGTCAATGTTGGAGAGTTCGATAAGCACCGGTTTGTGGTTCCTATTTCCTACTTGAAGCATCCTTTATTTCAAGATTTGTTGAGGAGTTCCGAGGAAGAGTATGGCTTTGAATATCCCTCGAGTTGTCTTTACATTCCATGCAGTGAAAATGCAATCCTGGATGTTAGTTGTCTTGTCTTGTCTTTACATAAAACCTGACTTTTTTATTAGTAAAGCTTAAGAGGAAGAAATTAACTTATTCTAACGAAAGACCTGGCCTCCGTTTCGATCCGACCACTAAAAGTTGCATATTTTATTGATAACGAAGATAAATGGTAATACAGACTAAGATAAAACCTACTAGATATTCTTATGAAAACTGAAATGTTGTAATACCAGTTTGTTGTGAAAAGATAAGAGACTAAGTCACAATATGAAGTAATTGATCACAAGAATAGTGTAATTGGCAGAGAATGAAAATTTTATTATAATATGGATAAAGAATACAAATATTATATGTTTATGATTTGTCTAACAACTTCTAACTTGTTCTAAAATACAATAAAAAACCAACTATATATATAGAACAATTAGGAGACATCCAAATCCTTATAGTAGAGTTGTAGATAAAGTAGAATGTCAAAAACAGAATCCAAAACGAAAAAAGAGATCAAAACAACGAAGAGGGCAGAACAGGTGGCACTGTCGTCCTTGATGTTAATATTTACAGCTGAGGCGCCTCGTATCCGACCCAAACTCCTTCCAATCATGTTTTTCTTTGTTCCAATAGCTTCTTCAAGTCCGACATAGATTCCTACTCCCAATGAACTTCCAAGTAAAATTTCAATTAGAATTTGTCAAGAAAACTTGAATATGATTCACGACTGCATTCCCAATAGGATTCTAATTAATGTGCACTTTAATTAGAATTCTCAATTATCTTCAACAATGAATTCGGGTCATACCCAAATTATAACAAATATAAAATATATTCATGTATAAATAGACTTACCTTGAAGTTGGTTAACCCACCTCTCACTTTCTTTTCTTTACATGCGCAATATCGACACATGGCCTCTCACCAAACACGCAATCACTTAACCCCAATTTTTTCCCTTTGCCAAATAGCATGTATAAGCCTCATGCATTGTGTTAGGTTTATATTTTGTACTGGCGATTTTGTGAACAAATTGACCAACTTGAACAGTTATAAAAGTTTAGGGACTGTAAAGTTTCATAGTTGGTAGATTAGGATTAGGGTTTGGGGTTATGTGTTTGGAACAAGAAGAATTCAGGCCGAATTTTCGCTAGCTGCTTATCGGAGTGTTGCTCGAGTGACTGAAGCAAAACCTACTTTGCTCGATTCTCGCCCCACTGTCGCTCGAGCGACAGACCCTTCGCTCAAGCGAGAATGCCTCTTCGCTCGAGCGATGTATTTAACTGAAAAACTAATTTTCCTTTTCCGAGACTTTAAGTCGGTCCATACAACCTAATTCGTCCAATCTATATCTTGAAGGCACCGTATTTTCTGTATGTGAGATCGAACAATATATTATTTAAGAAGAATATATCATACATAAGATCAAAGTTTAACCATTCATTGTTTATGAGCCTCTTTCATTGAAAACATCAAAGCTATCAAATCAAACACTGAGTTGGTTTCTTTGATTGGATCTACTGCAAGATTGTGTCGTCAACTGTGCTGCATTAAAGATCAAGGAAGAGTTTGAAGAACGAGCAGTTCTTGGGAAAGATCTNTAGTCTGTAAGTTTTATTGACTGTTTATAGTGGATCTTTGACTGGCAAACTGCCTGAAGTTTTTCTCACGTTGAGTTTCTCCGTGAATAATTCTTGTGTTGTTTACTGCTTTGGGATTACTACGGTATTTCAAGATAGGTTAACTTGAATTGTTTGACTAATCATCTAAACATAATTAACTTGTGACTTGTTGTATGTTAATTAAATTTTAATTTCGCATTTACACCTAATCACCCCTCTCTAGGTGTAGTAGGGTCGAATCTTGCGTTTTTCACATTGCACCAGTGACTTGAAAGTTATATAGAAAAAGTTAACTTTCCCATTATATATAGCACAATATGTAATATGATCCATGTCCATTATCAAAATAATGATAACTATTTCACTTTTGTTCTAGACATTGAGTAATCGTCAATGCTTCGGAGGGGGCTAAGATAGCTCCTTTCCAACAAGTATGCTTCGAGAGGATAATATATTGTGCATGAGCATGTGAACAAGCTAAAAAATGTGCATAATGAATATGTGAGCGCCTTGACAACAAGTTCAGTGCATGAATGTGAACGGATGATTACACACTAGTAAGCCTTGTGGAAGAAATATGGTACGGATCATGCCTAGACTCGCGATAAAAGTGGTCTGAACAGGTGCAAAAATAATATTATAATAATTCACGTAACATTTTTCATTACCTTTGTGCACCTAAAGAATCTTTTTTAACAAGTCATTAGTACTACAAAAGTTGAAAAAGAATAGCTCATGCCATGCACCAATTTGCAATCAAATATTATTTGAACCACTTGCTTTCTTCAAATGTACTTAAAAGAACATGCCTGGTTTGAACAGTGGGGCATTGTATTGGTTGGGATATTTTTAAAAAATATGTATATATGAGTTGTAAGTGAATAATTGGGTCCATAACTCCAGATTTTTGGGATTTGATCCTTCCACACTGGAGAACATTTTCATACAACTTCAAACGCGGTATGTGTGTATATGTTGTTCGAATCCTATATTTATAATTTCAAAGAAAAAAAAAATTCGAAATTTCTAAAGTCGGTGTTTCTGTTTAAGACCAGCCACACAGGATGGTCCTTAAGTTTTATGTTGTACGACTTCCAGGTTTTGAGGGATCAACAAAGGACATATGCCCATTTCAAGTTTTGACACTAATTTATGCCAAGAAGTTGGGCTCGTCCCTCCGCTTATTTCTTGATGGATGGATAACGAGTTTTTTTGTAACCCAACTTGCCCAAAGCTCGTGTTAGTTTACTCAATAAGGATAGATACACAAATTTTACACGAATGTTAAAAGTTGTAATCAGAAGTCGTCAACTCTCAATATTGAATACTACGTGTGAATATTGAATATCACCTTAATAAAAGCATGTATGAATATGAATAATTGTCATTGTACAAAGATAAAATATGTATCCTCTTATTTGATTCACCGTTTACTTGTATAGAATATTAAAAAATTTAACATAATTGAGTATTATTTTATTTAGAGAATTTCTATGCACAACGTTAAACATACTCGTTTTTGAGTTAATCATGCACAATATAATATCTTATTACATTAAAAATCTATATTCAGAATAGCTGGTATTCGTAGTAAAGTGGGCCCCATTATAAGGGGCTTCTAACCCAACTATAAATAC